TCTGGGGATGCTTTGTCTTTCACTTGTATTATGTAAAATATTTAATTATGTAAGGGATATGGAACCCATGCTGTTTTTTACTTGTATTCATTCACTTGAAAAACAGAATGTAATCACATTTTAATTTTTATCCTTTCTGAAAGATCTTGCTGGGGTATACAAGCTGTAAGGGAAAAATAGGATTAGAGTAAACAAGTTAAAATGGGCTAGAAGGAAAACATCAAGGATGAGAGTTAGAAGGAAAACCTCAAGAATGAGAGAAGGAATAGAAAATGCAAAAGAAGAATAAAGAGAACGTCTGAAGAAAACCGTCAAGAGAGTATGTGAGTGTCTTTTCCCCTAACCCCCTCAGTTAGAAATGTTTGGTACACACCTTCGCTGTGGATTTTCCCTTTCAGCCTTGTGCTTCCTGGTGGCTACCTGCCTCCCCACCCAGGCAGCAACATTCAGTAAACTTAGAATGTAGACCCAGAAAATTAGCAGCACAGATTAGACATTCAGCAAGAAAATTCAAAATTTTGATGAAAAACAAACAAATATTAGAAATGGAAAACTCAATAAGCCAAATGAAAAGCAGTGAGAAGTATTCCAAAAAAAAAATGGATCAAGCAGAAAAACATCAGGAATTAAATGAAAGTTTAAGAAAATATTACACTGAGACAACAATATAAAAATGAACATTATCACAACTTTCAAGAACTCTTTATGATCAAGAGTGAAGACCTTTCAGGCCACAGATAAGAAGAGTTTGTATCCTACACACTAAATGGAGAAGCTACACATATGCACACACTATATGAAAAGATTCTCTCCTCTCTCTCTCTCTCTCTCTCTCTCTCTCTCTCTCTCTCTCTCTCTCTCTTCTCCGCCTGCACTATCTCTTCCTTCTCTCTTCTTCTCTTCTCTCTCTCTCTCTCTCTCTCTCTCTCTCACACACACACACACACACACACACACACACACACACACACACACACACCCCTTTAGAGAGAGCCCCTAAGTCACAGTTAGATATGCCTAAGATTGAAGAAGAATAAAAGGAGAGAATGTGTCTGTAAGCTGCCCTCAGCAGCCCAGGACTGACACTAAGTCTCATTCAGACACAGGTTGATGCCAGAGCTGCCATAGCCTCCCTTTCAGGAGAGCGACCCGGGGCTTAGACACCACAGAGTGTCTCTGGGCAAGATTAGGAGCCCTCTTCTCTTCTACACCCCACTTCGCTGTATCCGTCTCAGCTGACAGAAACACAGATGCACCTGTAGGGAAGGGGGAAGTCTCCTGAATATTGGTTCTCCGATATGAGCACTCCAGTGCATTCCTTCACACCCGTAAGTGGATGGATAGGCCCCTGGAAGGGAAAGGAGTGGCAGAGTTGGAGAAGTGGGAGCCGAGCCTCTCTGCAGGGCTGGCTGTGTGGGTGGTGAGTCCCGTGCGCTCTCCACCTTGGGTCTCCTCTGCTGTCTAAGGGCAAATGACAACTAAAGAATTTGTTTCTCAAGCTGGTGTTGCAGATCCAGAACTCATGTGTGGCCCTAGAGTTAATTATACACACCCCTTCTCCATGTGATCTGGGCAATGACTGAACAATCTGAAGCCCGTTGTTTGACAGTGAACATCTAAAGAGAGTTACAGACAAACTAGAGAAGAAATGGAGAACAAAGCCAGGAGGGGAGTTGACTGCGCTGCATAAAGTCAGCACTCAGAGCAAGGAACAGACAGACCTCCAAAATGTTCCCTGCTGCTCGGCCTGGACACCACACCTGAAGACCAACCACCGACTCTGGCCCTTGAACATCTTTTGTTCATGGTGCCACTGAGCTTCTTTTTATTTTTCTTTAAACTTTTATTTTTATTAGATTGATTCATCTTATCACACCTATTTTTATTTAGCATTTCATCCATGTGTTTTGTCTGCATATATGTATGTGTACTATGTGTGCTAGATATTTAATTCTCAGCAGCCAGGAAACCCAGGGTGCTGTTCATCCTCACAGCACTTCTTGTCATCACACAGGGACTGTGACTAGGAACAGAAAGTTTTTGCCTCAGTAAATGACAGGGCTCCAGGGAGAGCATCCAGGATGGACAGGTGCATAAGGAGCCCCTTTCCCCTGGAGAAGCTAAGCTCCGATGGCAACATCCTAACAACAGTGACAGTTGCTGGGAACACAGGGCTTAAGGATGATAAACAGGGCCTGCTGTGCTGTGAGAACACCCACCCTGAGGCCTGCACAGACTGCACAGGTAAGTGTTCCATCGTGTCACAGTGGACTGGAGCTGCCTTTCACCTTAACAGAGATGCCATGAGGAAGGGACTGGGAGGGAAGGCACTTGAAGAGAAGGACCTGCATTCCTCTGTCACTGAGAAAGAGGAAGGGGAAGATCACGGGGAAAAGCAGTCTCTCATTCCCACCTGCCCTGCAGAATTGTTTTCATGCTCGTGAGGGAGCCGTGTGCAGCTGCATGGGCTGCACTGGGCCAGAGATGCTCAGCCAGCCCAGGAGACATGGAGTGTGAGGAAGCGTTTCTTCTCTGCAGTTTCTCCATTTTGTGTGTTTGTCCTCACAGGGGTGAAAGGTTCTGCTGTACCGTATCATAGATCTGGTGCCCTTTAGTGCCCTTTAGCCTCTCATAAGGGGGTGGGGGGCTTTGCCCTTCCTTGTTCTGCTTTTATTGTTTCTGAAGCTTCCCTGTACAGACTCAAACATAACACAGAATGCAAGTGCAGAGAATCATGGGGAAGCTGACATGACACAAAACAGAGCAATGCTATGAGAGCGTGTCTAATGGTTGGCAGGCACTGTACTAAGCTCCATTGAACCCTCTCAACACACATGATTGGTGCCAAGTACCATCTCTACATCAGCAAGCCTTAAAGGGGCCAAGCTCAATGTGCAAAGCCAGGAGTAGAACGATGTGGAAGAGCGGGGTTTGACAGACAGGATAGCTGGTTGCAAAACTTGAGCTTGTTGATTTTGCAATTTGTTCCTCTCTAGTTTATTGATTACTCTCTCAAGCATCTGGACCTTGCATCTGCCCCTCGAGCCTATGACCCATTTCTGAAAGAAAACCTTGACTTGATTAGTTTCATAAAAGTTGTTCTTTGCTATGTCTTACATGCTAGAAGAGTGATGGCTGAGAGAGCATATTAAATGTGTGTATGAAAATGTATAAAGATATGTATTCCCAATCACCCTGGAGTAGATGTGTGTGTGTGTGTGTGTGTGTGTGTGTGTGTGTGTGTGTGTGTGTTCCAACTAAGTTCTGACACTGTAGGAAATCAAAGACAGTTTCATGGTAATAAATTTTGCTATTGGCATCTCAGTGATCACCTATGCACACCTGAAAAGCTATCAAAACACAAGCAGTTCCATACAGAGGGATTTCAAGAGAAAATAAAGCAGTGCTGGTAAGTTCTTAAAGGATAGCCCATGCCCATCACTAAATTGTTTGAATCCTGGAAGCTTACATCATTGCACAAGTGATGAAGTGCTGAACACTTCCTAAACGTGCCATCCAAAATGTACTGACTTCTTGAGGAAACTAATCTTTATCGATTTTAATGAAGAGCCCTACTCAAATTCTCAAAATTGCTTTGTCAGTTCATATCTATGATTCAAGTGCTATTTTAAAACCAACAGCTTCCTTGAGCAGCTATAAACCTTGGAACAGGCATTATGCTAATACTTACAAACTACATGCAGAACCAGTGTCTCTGAGGCCTGCTCATTTCCCAGTGAGGGAAGGGAGCACATGCACAGACAACACAACCTTCTGAGGGCAGAGAAAGCAGAAGAGATGAGACTCTAAGCAAGGAGCAATAAGGCATGGTAGTAGGGCAAACATCAGCTGTGGTTACAGCACAGATTCCTATGGAAAGGTAAAGGCCAATGTTCCATTTGTAAGAGGAGGTTCAAAGTAAGTCAGAAATAATTTTAATGAGGAGAAGATGCCTAATTGTAGAGGACAAAGAGAAATTAAGTTTGTCATGTGAAGCTCTCTGTGTTTGGTGAGGAATGAAACAAATGGAATAATTGTCTGCTTAATGGGATCATTTTGACTTCAATATAGAAAGTAAAGAACAGGGGCGGGGGAGATACCATACATAAAATGATGTCAGTCACAGTGTGAGATACTGGGGAGGACTCGAAGGCTGAGGGATTTGTGACTGAGAACATGGCTAGACTGAACCAAACCTTAAAACCATCAGCAAGACATGCCTATGTTAAGACTCCACAGGAACAGTTTCCTGGTGTTATACCGGGGGAAGTGTTCTTAGCGGAAAAAGGAAAAACAGGAGAAAGTGGAGTAAACAGGATGATTCTATCCATGAATATTAGGAACACAATTTTTAATCACACTTAGTCCCACCCTGAGGCCAGTGATCTACGTTTTCATGCCCTCACTAAGTCACTAACCTCTGTATAATTTATGATCAAATGTTTGGGGAGAGGAGAATACCACATGATTTCCCCCTGAGAAACTGGGCCACTTGACCAAGAACAACTTTCTGAGAAGCTGCGAGCTTTGTATTAGCTCAACAATAGAGTGATGGTTGCATATAGAACAATGAAGATCAGGATGAGGCACCAATCCTGTCCAGGAGCCTGAAGTCACACTGGGTGTGATGAGGGAAAAGGAAGCATCCTATCAGGCTAATATTCAGGACTGTGTTGTTTAGAAAACTGACAAAGTGGTGCTGTACGTTTAGCTTTTCTCCAGGAGTGGCATGGTCATAGGAGAAAAGATAAAGAAGACAAAGAAGGGTCTTTGTGAAAGGCAGGAAAACTGAAGTTTATGCCCTGATTGTGGCTAGCACCACTTCTGTGGAATTGGAAAACAGACAGACTGGGAAAATAAAGAATATGATCAGGCATCATCAAGTAAAGAACCATCTGTTTTTATATAATTGATACCATTGTTTTTATCAGAATAAACAGAGAAAATCTTACATGTATTTCTCAAATGACTTCCCCTAGTGTTGTGCATGAAGTCAGAAGATGAAGTTGAATAACATTATCCATGCAATAATTGTCCTTTCTCTTGCTGGACCTGGAATTGTGGGAAATAGCCTAATATTTGTGAAGCACATATACATCTCTACCTTGGGGACTGAGAAAAGGCCCGTGAACCTTATCCTCATGCACTTGGCATTTTCTAATATGATCATTATTTGTACCACAGGGATCAGAGACATAGCCACAATGTTTTATTTCCAAAACTTCCTAGGAGATATTGGCTGTAAAGCTGTGGTTTATCTGGCAAGGATGGCTCGGGGCCTTTCCATCTGCACCACCTGTTTCCTCAGTGTGGTCCAGGCTGTCACCATCAGTCCCAGGACCACCATTTGGACAAAGCTAAAACCACAGAACTCATTGCAAGTTCTTCCCTTTCTCCTCCTCTTTTGGATGGCTAATGTTCTCATAAGCTCCAACTTGCTCTGCTACATCAAAGGAAGTGGTGGCTTGAACACTTCTATACCTGGAACATTCATTGGCCATTGCTATATGCTGCAATCAAGACATGTAATCAAGTGGCTATTCCTGTCTCTCATGGCTCTTCGTGATGTCATCTTTCAGAGTCTGATGGGCTGGAGCAGCGGGTCCATGGTGTTCCATCTTTATAAGCATCACAAGCGGGTCCTCTACCTTCACAGCTCCAGGTGTGAAAACAATTCCCCTCCAGAAATCAGAGCTACCTGGAGTGTTCTCATTCTAATGGCCTGCTTCCTTTTCTTTTATTGGGTCAATTTCATTCTCTCCTTCTACACTGGTTTCACAGCAACACATGATTCTATTTCACTAAATATTAAGACATTTTTAGAGCTTGGTTATGCTGGTTTTAGCCCCTATGTTCTGATCAACAGAGATGCCCGTGTTCCTAATATCTTGCATGCTCACTGAGAAGTGTAGAAATTACACTCTACACATATTCTTTATGAGCTAAAGGTATGTACATTGCAAACTGCTTTGACATGATGAAATTTAGAGCTGGGGAACATCATGTTTGCTACATAGCATAGGCTGACCTGGCAGTCAGTACATAGAACAGGCTCACCTGGAGAAGCCTCAGAATCCCAAATGCTGGCATTACAGGCATTCCCCACCAAACTGCCATCTGCCTAAATGTTCTAATGTATTACAACATTAAATTAAATATTATAGTAATATATTTTCTTTCCTTAAAAAGTGTAGCACTGCACAATCTTCATACTAGCTCAGGGTTTCCAGACAGGTAGAAAGCAGAGTCTTGCCATCCCTATCATGTGATGGTTTTTGCTTCTCATTAGCACTGGGGAAATTGCTGGAGCTAAGTGTGCTGTCAGAAATTAATATTGCATCTTTTCCAAAGCCAGAAAAGGAAAACAAAATAGGTTAAATGGAGGTGAGGAGATGGGCCTTATCTGAGGTGAGCTTGTAACTGCAGAGTGAAGATGACAGTGAGACAAGCAAGGTCACCACAACAGGTAGATTTGGCTACCTTTTTTTTTTTTTTTTTGACATTGCTAGTTTCCAAAATGTTGCTCCCAAAAGTATTGACACCTCTGGTCAACTATAACTGGGTTAACACTTAGAGTACCACTAAAAGACACTCTAGCAAATGGGCCCTCTCTAGCAATGCTGTGCTCCTGGCCAGGGCCCCACTGGCACTCTGGTGTATTAAAACCTTAATGATAGGTTGTTAACATTGGAGTTTCCATCTGTCATTCTCAGTCATTCCCTATGGCCTATATATTGAACATCAAGGTATTTGTTAGGCCTCCTTGGCCCCTGAATGTCAAAATCCATCTTCTCTGATGCTGCGCAGGCACACCTTGTCAAGCTGAGAACCAGGAGACCAAGGTGCTGGTGGTGCAGAGGGAATATGCCTGGGACAACCCAGGTGGCATGGCCATGCCAAACAACAGGACATTTAGAGCCTTGAGAACTCCACAGCCTCAGGCCCAAGAGGACCCAAAGAATTCAGAAATCATCCCGATCCTGGGTCCTCAAGACACTGCACTGTAGTCATCCCAAGGAGGCTCCTGCCTTCTGTATAAGTGTCATTCCTGAAGGGATGCAGGAACTCAGAGCACTGTTCACCAAAGCTGTCCATCATCTCACTGCACTCCCTCCCCAGGATAAATAGAAAGATACAAACAATTGTTGCAAGCCACGGGCTTGAATTGCTCTCTGTGTAGCTTCCTGGGTCCAAGAGACAAAAATTTTCAGACTACAGCAAGAAATAGGCCAGGCTGTGGGTCTCTGAAATACTGCTCTTTGCTGAGATAATCTAGGCTATTAATGTTTTGATAATATAGATTAAAGACCACTATTATGGTTAGTTTCTATGTCAACTTGTCACAAATCAGAATCATCTGAATGAGAAGGTCCATATTAAAAGGATGTGTCAGAAAGATGATCCCAACTTGGCCTTCCCTCTGACTCTGAGATGATTTGCTCAGTTGCTGCTGCTGGGGCTGATTTCGTTGCTGAGAGCAGAACCAGGGGCTCTCTAGGAAAGTTCCAGGCTTCTGGAGCCAGAGTAGCACTACTGAGGTTCCTGTCTCATGCACTAACTGGCAGTTATGCCCCAGTAGAGTCAGTTCTGGTGAGAGACAGCTGTGGTGAGACTACTCCACTGGTGAGACTCTCAGGCTCAAGAACCTAGTGCACACCAGGTTCTCAGATGTTCTGGTGGGATTTAGCTCTTGTTACTATTTTAAAGATGATCTAATCAATTCTGTCATTATATACATAAATACTATATCATATGTTATATGGAATATTTTTAATCCCCTTGGTTCTGTTCCTCTAGAGAACCCTAATTAAAGTGGTCACCTTTTCCAGTGCTCTGAGGGAGATGCAAGGCTGAGGAGGAGAGCTGCCTCTCCAAAGACCTTGTGGGTTTACAAGGTGTATTCGCCCTCTTTCTTATGGAGTGGACAATGAGAATGGGAAGGAAAGGACAGTGCCCGACACACACATTTCTGCCCAAAGTCATTTCATTTTATGTAGTTTCTCTTGCATTATTAAAAATAAAACTGATAGATAATTAACCTTCAATAGATACAGTTTTGACACAAATCTGGAATCTCACAGATAAACTAAATTAATATGTCCACCTGCTCCTTCATTACCATTTGGTGGGTAAAGTGAAAGCCCCTGAAATCTCCATGGATTCCCAGTGTACACACACAGTGAGGCACACACAGAGGACTCTCTACAAAGCAAAAGGGGGACTTGAAAAGCTGAAGCCCAGTTTCTACTTGAGGGCTGGGTGTTCCAAGGGTCTTTGAGGGGTCCCCTCCCCTACTTTAAACTGGGTCAGTCTGAACAAAGACAGAGAGGCAGATAGGCCTACAACTCTGAGGGAAACATGTCCACCCACCATTCTGTAGTGGTCTTTTTATCTTTAATCCACAAGTGATTTTCTCTGGAGCTAAACAAATTTTATAGAAGCCAAAGTTACCAGTTTCTCTTAATTAATATGAATTTGTCTTTAGCAAACAGAACTTGCTGTCTAAGCAGATACTGGTGATGGTAACATCTCAAGGAAGGACAGATTGTACACTTTTCAGAGAAGAGGAAGGGCCAAGCAGCGTTAAAAAGCAGATGTCAACAGCTTAGTTTAACTATATAGTCTTAGGTTAGAGTTCCTTAGTCTGTTTTCTTATTCCTGTATAACTTAATATTTCCTAAGTAACCTTCTTAGGAAATGCATCCTAGTCCTATTTTGATGGAAAACTTGTTGATATTTTTCCTCCTTATCAATAATTGTAGATACTTATAAGTGATATAAAGTTCTGAAACAGAACTCTTTCTCCTGACACATCACTGAAGGGTACACTAGAATTCAGTGAATCTCCTACTACCATCTTTTAGCTAGTTTAGCTGAAACTGACCTCACACATGTTGACCCTACTGTTTCAGCATCGTGAGTGCTAGAATTTTAAAAAATATATATTTGTTGAAAGAATAAATTAACTACAACCAAGCAAGGCCTGCCAAGGAAGAGGCAGAATAAGCATTGAAAGTGGGCCTCACAAAGACATAAGGCAATCAGGAAAATTTAGAATTCTGGAGTTAGAATGCCTGCTGTATCCTCCTGCAGATAGAGCTGGGGAAGGGTCTGTCCTGCCGGTGTCTTCAGACCTTCCCCATCCTGGTTACCAGGGAGAAAATACACACTGAGTCAGAGATTTGTCGAAGCAGGATCTCACTTTATTCCAACAGGCAGGGACTTATATAAGGCTGAGGTAGGGGATAGGAATCTTAGGATGGGGTAAAGTGACTGAAAGACCCCCGGAGGCTCAGGCCCCCAGGACTGTGGCAACCCCAATCACCAGGTGGAGGCAAAGGCTTGATGCAAACAGCAAGAGGCTTTATTCAGCTGCCAGCGCACTGGGGTCCGAACTCAAGCTCACACAGGAAAAGAGTCGGACCCCAAGCTCAGAATTGGAAGTTCTTTTAAAGGGAAAAACAGCAAAGCAGGTGGGGATGAGGTGATCAACAGTTACGTTTCTGATTGGCTGCCTATATCTGCCAAATTGTAACCCCAGGGTCATGGAATGTTCAGGGCAGCAACGTTCTCTATTTCTGGAAACTGTTTATCAGGGTGGAAACTCTATTCCTGGAAACTATTTACCAGGGTGGAATTTCCCAACCCCAATGGTCCTTTTCCAGGCAGGGTCATAAGTTTAGGTTCTCACAGCCCAAGCAGGTTCTTCACTCTCCCATTTTCTTCTTTGGGGATTCCATTCATGGAATTGCTGTCTCTCCGGCATCCTCATTAGGGAGTGAGTGATACTGTTGGCACAGCATCAGTACCTGGACCGAGCTTACTCTCTCACGAATGAAAGTCATCAGGCGGTTGAGAATACAAGGACCAAAAGTGAGAAGTAATAAGATAATAATGATAGGCCTGAGCAACGAGGAGACCAGGGTAGTGAACCAAGGGGACCTGCTGTACCAGCTTTCAAACCAGCTCTGGTTGGCCTCTCTCTCCCTTGGTGCTTCTCTAGTCCTTCTGATTTCTCTGAGGGAGTGACATTGGTATCCCCTATGTAAGGGAGTTTATTTTGACTTAGCATTTCAACCAGGGAAAATGGGCGATGTATTCTTTCCCATGCTGCTTCCAGCTGACTTCGGAACACAGTTAGGGACCCAAGAGAATTGAAATGCTAGTCAAAAGAAAAAAGGGAATTCAGGCAATGGGGAAGCAGCTGGTTGGCATACTCTGTTGAAGAGACAGGGGGTGACCACATCAGCTGGACTGATTTACATCCACTGCAAGTCTAGGGCTTGCAGTCCTTTAGGGGCAGGCTGTAGTCAGCAACTGATACTCAGATGTGTCTGCCAGAAGTAGAAACCTGTTTAAGACATGTAAAACTTATTTACTGAAACCCACAGTGCAGAAAAAAACAGATATCTGGATATCTGTTTAAACAGCAGGAACATATTTCTAACTTTGAATCCTAGCAAAAACTACAGATTTGGGTTAGAAGTATGTACATTTTTCTTTTGTCCAGAGAGCTGGTTATAGATTGGACAAAGGTGCCTTAGCCTGATGAAAAGGCCCTTTAAGTTTATACTTAGATGACAACCAAAATAAACCCAAAAACCTTGAGTTTGTGACTGAACAGTAGGTAGTCACTACTTTAACAGCTACCAAGCTGACTATAGTCTTGTGGATCTGACTGCCTGATGCTGCCAAGCTGACAACCATTAGTATTTCAGAGACCTGAGAATGGGAAATTTTGTACAGTTTCCAAATCTATTAAAAAGTGACAGAAGCCAGTCCATATACAGTTAACCATACCCAAGTCTCTCCATTAGCGTTGGAAGCAGAAGTATCAAAGAACAGCAATCTTAGCTAGGCCTATAAGGTGAGAGGTTTTTTTCTCTCTGTGGAAGAGGGACAT